CCTCTTCCCCCCAAAAACTTCTGTTCTACCCAAGCCACGCTGCCCCCCTGGTGTTCAGACCAGCTTGGAAATGAACCCTTTAAAATAATCATAATCAGAGTGAATCCTAAAGGAAGAGTGGAAGCCCCCCCCCCAGGACTATCCTGATTTGGGGAAAAGAAGACTGGGCCAGCCCAAAGGAGCCCAGCCTCGTTTTTTAAAATCTCCTACAAAACCTTAAAACCTCAACACGTGGGTTTAGATCTTCAGGCAGTTTTACACACCCACACACATAGAAGCGCCCCCCCCCGTTGGCTCTTTCTCACCCCCCCATTAAGGGAACAACAGCTCCACATTTCTGTTCTTGCAAAGTTTATCACGGGGGGGAGGGGTGCCTGGCCCGCGTGAAAAGCATGAAAGGTCAATTTCTTTACGTTTTTTAAAAATATTTCACACACACCCACGATCCTGGAGTAATGGGGGGAGGAATCAGGAAGGGGGGGGAAGAGGCGCTTTCCTGCCTGACTCGCTCTCCTCTTTCAGGCGCAAAATGGCCAGAGAGGCCTTTTACATCTTTCTTCCCCCCTCCCCTCCATAACTCTTTCCTTGCCTTTCCACGTGCGTTGGTTGGGGAGGGGTGGGAACAGGGGCGGGGGAATGAGTTTGGGGGCGTAAAGCAGAAAGAGAAACACCTCGGGGGGATTTTTTTTTAATCAAGGGGGGGAATTTCCCCGCCATTCTCCTCGTTCAAAAAAGAGAGGAAAAAAGCCAGAAGCGCACCATGTGCGCCTTAGTTACGCGTGGTCTCAAGGCGCGGAGAGAGCGCTCCCGCAGAGCCCCCCCTTCCGCCCCACTTTCTTTGTTGGGGGGCAGGGGAAGAGGGAGGGAGAAGCCTGACCTACATAGGCCATATTGTCCTCCTTGGAAAGAGGGAGTGGAGAGGAAACCTGTCCCCCCCTCCTCGCCGGGTTTGTGGGCAGACGCCGCGGGCCTTCAACTTGGGGGGGCAGCCTGAAAAGACACCCCACCTCTGTTGAATCACCTGGCTTTCCCCCCCTCGTAGAAAATAAAGCCAGCTCTCCCCCAAAGCGCCCCCGGGGGGAAATCTAGGGCGTGGAGAGGCCTCCATGAGGTCCCCAAACAGGGGAGGGGAGGATGCGCGGGAGGCGAAGGCGAAGTCCTGCGCCTTCTCTCCAGACCCCCATCTGGGGGGTGGGGGGTCGAGGGGCCCCCAAAGAGGCAGGGGAGGGGAAACCCCCCCCCCAGAGGCCCCCCTCCCGAGGCGGGATCTGGGGAGGGCGAAAGCCCCCCCCTCCAGGCCACCACGCCGCCGAGAACTCGCCTCGCCAAGCTGGTGCGTAAAAACGCACGGGGGGCGGAAAGGGCGAAAAAGGGGAGCCCCGGGGAAGAAGGGGGGCTTTTGGGGGGGAGGAAGGGGGGTGGGGGGGAAGTCGAAGGTCGTCTCCCCCCCAAGAAGGGGGGAAGGAGGGCAGGCAGGCAGCTCGGTGCGCCTTGGAGCGCCAGGGCGGGCAGGGAGCCTCGCCAACGCGCGGACCCGGGCGCACGTGGGGAAGGACGCCGGGCCGGGGAAAGGCGGCCCTCCTGCCCGCCGCCGGCTTACCTCGCCGGGCTTCTTGTTCCGCAGTTCCAGCGTCAGCCGCTTCTTCATCTCCATGGCGCCGCCAACAGTGCTGCTGCTGCCGCTGCTGCTCCTCGTTCGCTAAGGCGCGCCGCCGCCGCCGGAGCCTCGCCTGCCCGGTGCGCCTCGCCTCCAAAGGAACCCCGCGAGCGCAGCTCCGGATGATCAGGGCCTTCCTCCTCCTCCTCCTC